AAAAAAAGAAAAAGAAAGTTGTTTTGCTATGTGCCATTGCGACTCTATGTACAAGAGCCCTAAATGCCTCTCTATCCTGTGCCAACCTTGCCATCTCCGAAACACTCATTCCCACCACCACAATCACAGAATTGATCCATCTCATCAAGGGTCTTCCTCTCCTGTGCTGTTCCTCCACTCTCCCAAACATAATGTCCGTCTCCAACGACCAGTCCCTCCTTGCAACGTGTCCAAAGTATGTCAGACGAAGCTTCAGAATCCTTGACTCCAAAGTAGCACTCCAGCTTCACCTTCTCCACAGTAGATATTATAAAACTATAACCTTGTAATTTTTTTTAATTTTTCAGTGTATTCGTGTTTTTCTTCTTTATTCCAGGCAGGGAGAGGGCACCTGGGATGCTTGCTCTAAAGGTTTTAAGACCCAAATCACTTCTTATCAAAATTAAGCAAATTCACTACATGATTAATATTAATGCTAAATTTTTTTATACACAGTTTTAATTTGAATCTTTTCTAATTATAGTTGGTGTGCTTTTAAAATTCTACCATAAAACTTAAAAAATTGTCAAGGTGATCATATGTTAGAGAAACAGCATGGTACTCTTACAATGTGTGCATATACAAACAAACACACTCATTTGAATTTTCCCATTAATTAGACTTTAGATAAATAGACATTGTGAAATAGTCTCAGCATTTATGAATGGTAAACATATGTTAGAAGAGTTCTATGAATAATCGTTTACCGCCATTTAATTGCTCTGGAATTGCTAACATTAGCTCAATGCAGTATAATCAAAACTAAGCCAAATTCAATGCTGATTACAAATCATAGCTACCCTGTGAACTATGAGTTTTATGAGAGAAGAGAAAAATTATTATTTCCATGAAACCATTTTTATCATTATTTTTTAATAAATCCTTCTGCTGTTAATGATTTGTTTGAAACTGTGTACTGTTAACATGAGGACATGACTCACAAAGCCTCTATATTTGCCATACCTGTCTACCATCCCCTTTATAAATCTCTGCTTACTGAAAAAAACTATAGTCTCTAGAACTAGAGCAATTCTTCTATAGGTAGGCTTTCTCCTAGGAGTTGAGAGTCTAGGTTATAAAAAGACTTCTCTGCATCCAAAGAAAACAAAAACACTAGCATAACATCAAAACCTGCATTAGCTAGGGATATAAGCCTCTAAAGTAACAGGTAGAGGGAGAAAATAAAGTAAGAGCAGCTAATAGTTCACATAGTATTACATAGAGTAAACAAGGAACTCATGATTTACTATCCTGAGCTCCATCCACTGCCATTAAGTGGATTTCAACTCTTATTGACCACTGAGGGACACAGCAGAATTGCTCCATGAAATTTCCAACATTGCAAATGTTTATGAAAGCAGAATGACCTCCAATGGATTAGGCTTGTGGGTTTAAAGCACTGAATTTTGGTTAGGAGTTGAATGTCTTTACTATAGAGCTCTTTTGACATCCTGAGATATTTTGTTATTTGTTTGCTATTTAATGCACCTCCTTCCTCTCCCCTAATAGAACACAAGCTCCATGAAGACAGGGTCTCTGGTTTACCATTTTATCTTGATTGCCTGGAATAGCTACTGATATAGACAAAAGTTATTCAGTAAATATTTGTTGAACAAATTAATGCATGAGTAAAATGTTCTAAATATCCAGTGAACAGAGGTACATTTGATAAGAAGTGTGGTGTTCGCTTAAAAATGGGAATCCCACAACACTTGATTGTGCTTATGCAAAATCTATACTTGGACCAGGAAGCAGTCCTGAGAACAGAGAAGGGAAACACTGTATGGTTCAAAATCAGAAAGGTAGTGTATCAAGGATGCATCCTGTCTCCCTCTTTTCAATCTATATGCAGAATAGATCAGTAGGGAAGCAGGGCTTTAAGAGGAGGAATGTGGCATCAGGATTGGAGGAGGACTCATCAATAACCTACGTTATACAGATGATACAACCTTGCTTGCTGAAACTGAAGAAGACTTGAAGTGCTTGCTGCAGAAGGTCAAGGACTATAGTCCTCAATAAAGATTGAATCTCAACATCAAGAAGACTCTCACTACTGGGTCAATTGGAAGCACCATGAGAGATGGAGAAGAAATTGAGGTTGTTAAAAATTACAGCTTGCTCGGCTCCACAATCAACACTCTTAACACTAGCAGTCACAAAACCAAAAGACAAATAACATTTGGAAAGTATGCTGTCAGGCACCTCACCAGAACACTGAAAAGCAACAATGTCAGTCAAGAGACTAAGGTGTTCCCAATACAGGCCACGGTCTTCACAATTACTTGCTGTGCATCAGAAAGCTGACTAAGGATGACAGAAAAATGCCTTCGAATTGTTGCACTGGAAAAGAGTCTTGAACATACATACCATGAACTGCCAAAAAAAACCAAATAGGTCTGTCTTGGAGAGGGTGAAACCAAGTATCTCCTCGGAGGCTAGGATTTTGAAGCTTCATCTCAAATACTTTGGGCACATGGCCATAAGAGACAAGTCCTTGGAGAAAGGCATCATTCTTGGAAGGTAGAAGGGACAGCACAGAAGAGGAAGACTCCGGAGGAGATGGATTGATACAGTAACTGGGGCAATGGGGGTGGTGTGTTGGAATTAGTGAGACTGGCTCAGGACAGGGCAGGATTTAGAGATGCTGTACATAGGGTCACAAGTCACAATGGGTCACAGGAGACCTGATGGCACATAACAACAACAAATCATTACGTTAGCACTCTCTGATCTCCAGCTATTTTAAGTGCGGATACATGGTCTTGCCAATCATCAACAGCTGTGGGACTAGAATAATAGTGAGTGCTTCCTACACCGAGCAGCAAGAATTGAGGGAGACTTGATCAAGACCCTAATGAGAGTGAGACCTTGGTGGCAAGACCCTGGTGATGGTGGTAGAGAGACGATGGCATTGCTGTGGAGAAACTGTAGCAAAGTATAATCAGAGGAGCCCTGAGATAAAGGCAATAGTTAAAGGTTTTGCTGTTCTTGCCAGATGACTGAAGGAGGAGCTGACTCAGAACTGCTCTGAGGCAAACATTACTGAATGATTGAGGAAAACCAGAGGCTTCTTGAATTTTTGTTGCTAAACTAAAACCAGAACTTCTAGTAATTAAGGAATTATGTTTGGATGTTAATTTGGCTTAGTACTGCTGGACTAAACCTGGACTTGCATTGAGAGATCTTCTTCGCCTCTCCCACTCCCTAACATATTTCCTTAATAAACCCCATTATTGGTACCACAATTTTAAGTAAAGTCTGTGAGTCAACAATGAATATCTGACCTAGCAATCGATGAAAATAGGTGCAGGAGCATGGGAAGTGGTGTGTCAGACCTAACAGCTGTGTGCTGCTATGAATATTTTTGATGGGGATGGTTACCATTTTGGGAGTGGGTAGAAGTCAGACTTGGCCATTGCCCCCTTACATTGCACCTGCTCCTTTCACAAGAGGCCAAGGCGGGGGGCGGGGGAGGAACCAATAAATAGATATCAATGAGATAAAGGAAAATGGTAAAAACTGAAATTATCAAGGGAATGTTACATTCCACAGACCTACCATCCATGTCAACTGATCCTTAAGCAATGTGAGAGCTTGGGGGAAATCCATCTCACTCTACAGAACCAGAAAATGGCAGAGCCTCAAATTCAGGTCAATCAAGGACAATGTTCACCTTCTTTCCCTCTTTGCATGATGTTTCATTTACATACCATCACCTTGCTAATTTCCAATGATTTTGTATGCGAGTTCCAAAAGCCCAGCAAATATAAGCACAGACTGAAAAACTATTCCAATTTAAAACTGTGTACTGAAAATTTAGCATGAATATTAATCATATAATGAATCTGCATTATTCTTAAATTATCTTCTCCAAAAACTTTTTATTATAAATGACAGATCACATGCTACAAATAGCATTTTGCTGATAGGACACAATTTCATTTAAAGAACAGATCTTATTTTTTAAGAGTTTAAAAAGGAAACCAAGGTTCGTAAG